AAACATCCTCATACAAAATCCAAACGATCTCTACTACTTTTTCAATCAAACGGCTTCAACTTTCTGGCTACTATAAACTATATACAGTTTAATAATCTCTTCACTCCCAAAAAAAGTTTAGTAACCTTCTGTTCAACACAAGTTACACCACGCCCATAAGCATAAAAAAATTACTTCAACAATTTCTCTAATCAGACACAAAAAATGCTCTAATCATACACCCCAGGTTATAATTTTCTATTTTGTTAGATATTGAATCAAATGCAAACGATTCACAACCATTGAGTTTAGGAGGAACTATGTTTTATGTTCCAAAATGATCCAGCAATGAAGCAAATTTGGTGCAACTCAAAGCTCAAAAGGATGGCTGCTGATAACATTTTCATCCAACAGAAATAAGCATATGGGACAAGGAGCAACAATCTTGAGCTGATTTCTTGTTCAAGCAAACAGATTACATTCTAAAGAACTCCAAAGAAGGGGTTGTTTATGGCGGAGTTCAACTCTGACCCCGCTGAGTTCAGCACGGACATCTCTACCTTCTCCCGGGCCAGGAAAAGGAACTCACCCGCTTCGATTTTCTCAAACCCGCACAGCTCCAAGAACCGGATCCCCCCTTCCAGGGCGCCAACTCTATCCTGTTGTGATGCAATGAACGATTGATCAGCACTTAGGCCACTCAAGCAAGCAGCGATTAGAATTTGAAAGCGCAGAAATTCGGCTTGATATATAACTATTCCCCCACTGTTCCGGTTGATTCATTGATCAATAGAAAAGTTTCACTTTGACATCCGGAATAAGGATGGAATAAGGATTGTTATCGACATCTGCAATTAACATATGAAATAAGACAACATCCCATACCTGGAAAGTTTGGTTACTGAGTCTAATTTTTCTGAACTTCTCCTCACTTGGGGTTTTGGCTACATTTCCTATGTAAGTTAATAGAGTTTGGAAAGCTCTCTTCACTTTAGCATCATCATCCTACAGAAACCAACAAGTGAAGTTAGAGACCACATATTACATCGATCAGTAGCTTCGATGCAGATACAAAACTTTCATAGATAATGATCATCAAACTGTAAGCAGAACTATAGTCAACTCCCGAAAGTTGATGAAAATAGAAAAGAAACCATTAGCCTAGCAGAGACATACATCTGGTCATTAAAAATTCGAAGAAATACAAAAATTTGCAGGAGACCTATAGCTTGAATCGATGAAATTATCATGATAAGTAGGCAGAGTAAAGAGAGAAAACATGGGTATCATGAAGTAATTTTACCTTATGAGCTTGCTTAAGAGATCTCAGACATTCCCTCATTTGTTCTGCTTTTGTGGCTGGCCTGATAGGCAATGAGCTCTGCAAACATTTATGAAGTCATAATATAGAAGAAAACAAAAAATCTACCAAGTACCCAAAAAAAAAAAAAAAGAGGCATTACTTGTACCTTTTTTTCCTCAACAGGTGCAGGTGCTGCAGGTTTTGAAGTAGCAGGATCTTCTGGGGGCAACCCAAGCTTCCTTCTTCTTTCCGCCTTTGTAAGGAAAAACAATGAACATGAAGTAAGAAGGAAGTTGCACACAGTCTAGGTGGTTATCTTACCAACCAAGATGACAATAAGTATAAAATAAAAAGCAGTCAAGCAAAGGGAATGATTCAAAAAAGCAGCAGTAACCTTGTCTTCCTCCAGCTTCTGACGAATCTTTTCCCTGGCTCGCCTCTCTTCTTCTTTCTCAGCCTTCCGTAGGGCCATTATACTGGAAAAGAGGGAAATGTGCTGCTTATATTAAGATGGATAGGGAAAGAAGCAGTACTAGGTACTACACTAAGAGGACAATGAATGAACAGGAAACAAAATGCAAGAAGCTACCGTTTTCTTTCATTATCTTCTTCAATTCGTTTGGCCTCCAGGAGCTCCTTGCCAACTCGGATCCTTTCCTAAGAAAGACAGATTCATGTCCATCAGGTATAGATAGGATAGTAAATAAATTATGTTGAAATATTGGATAAAACACAATGCATTCCCAGCAGATTCTGATATAAAATTCGATGATACTTCAACTTCTAGGAGCACAACTGTGGACCATGTAGTTGAAGAAATATAGTAGCAAATTAAGGAAAGAGGATAGAGACCAAAATGACAGATATTATCTTGTAATTTATGACTTCATGGGAGTGCAAGCAAATTCACCTGTGCATATGATGCCCTCAGAAAAGAAGAAAAAGAAAAGCCATAACTACTTTACAAGTGTCACATTCCCCATGCAGCAGTTTATGATTGCATGCACGAATTTCAAAGGAATGTTGAGAGCAGGAAACAATGTGTATTATAAAAGTTGAGCACAGGTAATATAACAAAGTCGTTGTGACAAAGCAAAAAGGAAGCATTCATGAAACAAATAGTGCTTGCTAGCTACATAGCTCAACCGATGGATATGCACAAAAATAAACATAAATGCTGAAATCAGAAATTTATACAGATAAGAGACGATTCTTAGTAAGGTCCAGCCATACCTTCTCTCTTTCTCTTTCCATTCTCCTCTCTTCCTCCTCTTTCTTCTTACGGGCACGCTCCCTTAAGATTGTGGAGAAGAAACCATATATAAGCCATGCGAAGTGATTCAATCCAAAAGGAGAATGACCACAGAAACAAAGGACTGAACTGGAAAAGATACTGCCACAAAGGTCCTGATTTCAGGCTCACAAAATCCTACCTCAGTTCAGCTGCTTTTTGTTTCACTTCTTCTGGTGTAAGAGCAGGCTTTGGAGCCTCAAGTTTGGTGTTGGCTGGTACCTGAGGACAAGGGGGGAAGATTATTCAATGAGAATAGGACTTCTTGCCTGTACAATGACGCGAAGCTCTGACAACGAGAGAGCAATAAGAAGAGAAGGGCAGAGATGAAACAATAATGGACGTAAGTCATATTTAATTATGAGAAAAAGACTAACAATTTCCTACCAGGGGCATTTCATCTACATCCGGGTCTTTCTCATGTTCAACTACCCAATTCACAGCAGCTTCAAGACTGGTATTACCTGAAGACAAAGCCATCATAACAATTTAGTAACCGCAGAAGCTTTCATATTGGATATCATTAAGGTATCAATGCTTTTGAAGGAAAATAGAATTGCTGAAAAGCTATATAATCATTTGTCCTTCTCAATAGGACCCAAGAAAGAACAATCAAGTGTGCCAAGAGCAAACCGAAGATTTATCATCCCCAATAGTCGAATACAGGAATCCAAGTAGATGTCCGAACCTTTTTTCTCACAGTCTATAGACAACCTGTATTTCATGATTTGGAAGCAACAGTCTACTAATTGCCATGTTCCAGCAGCAGCCTTCAATATACATATTTCATTTAACAGAATACATAAAAGAAGTTACAATAGTCTAGCAAGAACTACAGTACAATTACTCCCTTTCAACATCATAACAAAATGCATAAAATGGATATATGGTTTGCAATGTCCTCACCTGAAAAATGAAGTGCTCTGGTTGCCCGTGCCTTTGGGAAACCCATTCCTTCCAGTTCTTCAAGAAGCTTTGCATCAACTTCTGGAGCAACCATTTCTTCATAACAAAGTTCAATGGAAATATGATTAGAAGATGCTGGTCTAAAGGAATTTCACTCTCATGCGAACATAACAAGTCTGTAATGTGTTAATAAATAGGTCTTTACTGGTTGTTGACTAGTTCAGTGACCAAAAAAAGAGAAGCTAAAGCCAGGCAGATCAAAGACCAGAACCAAGGACCCGCATGAGTGCAAACATTGATTTACCAAAACACTTGATTGAACTTGCAAATGCCTCTCACAATATGGCCCCTACCACATATCTGTACCACAAGCGTGAAGAATGAATGGGGAGAAAAAAAAAACGGATTACTAACAGCACTACCTTCAGGTTGTCCGCCACTGCTAGTAGGCTCATCCACATCCATTGGAACCTTTGGTGCTTCTAAATTTATAGGCTTTGTAGCCTCCTCAGTTTTGTCCACAAACTCTGTATGACCAGTCCTCTTTGTGTGCAAATCAGTTTCCTTCATGGGGTAAAAGAAGAAACAGGATCAGCTTAATAATCATACCACAAGAGAATTCCATTCCATTTGCACAAAGATCTGCTAGAAGATAAACCCAAGTCTAGTAAGGTTTACAAGTCAATGCAAGTTCAATGTATTAAAATTCATAAACGCTAATATAAACCAAGACAGACTAAACCTTTTGACATAAAAGCTTAAAAATTTCCTATCCAGAATATCTACTACATTCTAAGAACTGGAGTTCGGTTTCGAGATGTTGAGATTAACCCACGGATCCTTTTTAACCAGTACTATACGTTTCAAACTTTCAATCTCGCCCAAAAATTTCCCAATTCAAATTTGCAACCGTAACTGGACTTCTTATTAAACCCCAAATCTTCAGAGGCGATGCAAACTCGAATCAAGATACAAAAACTTGACACAGGCAAATCAATCGAAACCCTACTGTTTTCGATCGGCAGGGCTTTCCACAAGCAGAACAGACGAGGTTAAGAACGGCCTCCGTCGACTCGGAGAAATTGGAGTGCGAGGTCAGCTCGGCGTGCTCCTGAGCCTCCTCTACGGACTTCAACAGGGCGCCGCAATCCCCGCACTTCAAGGAAACTCCCGCCATTGATCGATCCGCCAATCAACAGGAGCAGCAGCTCCCGGGGACTTCTAAACTTTGCCGGCGACGAACAAACGCGGCCGACTCCGGGCGGAGGATAGAGAATTCGGGTTCTATGCTCGGCTGAATTCGGATCGTTGTTTTATAAGTTCCATCATCACTCTTTTACTTGTTGGAGAATGGAGAGGAAACGGTTTAGTGATAAAATCGAAAAGGGAATTAAATTTGTTATTGGGCCCAGTAAGCTAAGCCCACGATTTTCGGTCCACTGAGGTGTGGGCCTTCGTTTGGATCTATCTGACTGCAGGCAACGATTTCGCTCAGTTTGCACTTTGCACAGTGCAAACCATCTCGCCATTTTTTCTCCCTCGATCTGAAGTCTCTGAAGATTCTGACACAGAAAGGAGAAGAAGAGGCCATTTCACATTTTCACTTTCCTATTCTCTGTTTGTTTCTCGAGAAACCGTTTCGAATCGTAACGAGGAAAAATCCAGGGGCTTCCTCAAACCCTAGCTCGGGAATTTGTTGCGGAGAAGCTAGCTCGGGATGATCTCGGATTGTTGAAGATCGCTCGCTATGGTGAGGTCAGACCATGACCTCTTCTTGAACGCGAGAATCACGTATTTTCTTCGAGTTATTGATGGAACGCCGCCACAGTCTCTCTTCAGAGCCAACAACGACGAAGGAGAAGAAGAAAAGCAGCAGCGAATTGGTGAGTGTGAAATTGATCGAATGGGAGGATTACGAGCAGGAAGTCGCGCGATTGTGGAGCCTTTCGTCTGCTCTTAGGGAAGCTAGAGAGAAGAAGGAAGCTCTGGAAGGGAAGCTTCATTCGCTCAATCAGGTAGGACCTTGCGATAGATAGTTCTTAATGTTGAAGTATTTAGATTTTAGTCCTATGCAGTTTGCTGAGACATAGTTGAGGTTTCAGGTTCGTTGCTTGATTATCTTGAGAGGATACATTTAGTTAGTGTTACCTAAGTTCTCAACAAATCTGGTATAGAATTACCATCTGTTATGTTACCACCGTGCCATTTCTTGGGCCTTAATTGATTATCCCGCGGATTAGCGGGCGGTGAAATGGTTGGCAGGTTGAAGCTGAATCATTAGATCGATTGAATGTGCTTGAAGAGATACGGGAGAGGGTTGACGCTAGGAAAAAGATGATGGAAAGCTTATCAGACCGTTTGCAGGGAGCAGGAGAGAAAGCTAAGAAGGAAGAAGAAAGGCTTGGTGCAGAAGTTCGATCTCTTTTGGTTGCAGGAACTGCTCTTTCTGTGGCTAACAAGAAAATGGAGGTAATTTGTGCGGAATACTTAATCAGATCAGATTGCTTAAGTGGATTTGAAAGCTCTTTCCATTGCTGCCTTGCTGCTGTGTTTTTTTCCAGAAAAATCAGTTGAGAAACATCTCACATTGATAGAATGTGGCTCTTGTAAATCTCTGTGTACCACAGTGTGTCCTGCGACCAACATAGTTCGGCTATTAGTAAGCAAATTAGACTGTCTTAAGAACAGGTCGTTTGATCAATAGTTGTGAAGACTGACGATAAGACTTGAGTTGGCCAGTCCTTGAAGGAGCAACTGATATTATCACGTTCCAGTGCTATAAAAACTTTAGATTACTGGTAGTTCTTTCAATTTGTAACTACAAAACATGCTGAAAGGAGGGTGCTAACATCTACTTGAATGATAATGATGAGTAATATTTGTGTTAAGTCTAGAAAGTTCAAGTCATATGACTACTCTAGTTGTGCATATAAAATGTTTCGATGAAAATAAATATTAATAATAATCTGAAAGGCCAACTGCTGGAATTACTAAGTTTCCGTTTTTAGGAACTACTCTGCTTCTCTATCCGAAATATGAGGCTCTTGCATAATGCTCCATAAGGTTCATCCGTGAGGATTACCATGCTGATGACTGCAACTACATCTTGTCCACATAACGTCTGTACTTAATCTGGTATAACTGTATCCTCATGAGATGGCTAGAAGACACATCCTTTTTTCTAGTCAATTACAGAAACAAGTTACTCTGCTTTAGGACATGTTGGTATAGTTCATGAGAAGCAAATGGAGTTATATCTCTAAAGTTGAAAATGGTTTTAGGTCATAAGGGTATTGACTACATCTTGTCCACATAACGTCTGTACTTAATCTGGTATAACTGTATCCTCATGAGATGGCTAGAAGACACATCCTTTTTTCTAGTCAATTACAGAAACAAGTTACTCTGCTTTAGGACATGTTGGTATAGTTCATGAGAAGCAAATGGAGTTATATCTCTAAAGTTGAAAATGGTTTTAGGTCATAAGGGTATTGCAGTTTGATAGCTTACCATTTGGTTGTATGCTCGTAATCTTGGGCAGAAGACTAATTGTTCCTGGTAAAAATAATATGCTTTGGCAATCCATACCGCTCTTTTTGCATTTCACCAAATCTTTTTTTGTCATGAGTTTGACTCACACTTGAATATTTTTTTTATTGTGTACTACTTCTTATGTCAATATGAAGATGCTTGTGTACATATGATAGCTCCATATATCAATATGAAGATGTTTCTTTCTCATTTCACCTGATTCTTCCTAAGCTTCGTTGCTGTCAATTTCAAGTATATATATATGATGATGTATATACAAGGAATAATTCATACCTCTTACTACAGGAATCAAATAGGGTACTTGCTGGAGAAAGTGGATTTCTTCGCCTCAGAAACTTGCAGAAGATGCTCAGGTTGAGGCAACAGTTTATGATATCACAGGTGTCGTTGCTTTATTCTGTGAAGATGTCACCAGGACCTTCACAGGATCAAGAACTTGAATCACTGCCTAGTACTAGTAAATCAGGTACTGCGATGAGGAATTTCTACTAAACTTTTAACTAAAGTGGTACATCTTGAAAGAAAAAGAAAATCATACTGAGTGTGTAGCCAAAATTTTGAGGGATCATGGGCTAGGAAATTCATTGCTGACCTTGCTTGGCCCTGTATCAGTTCAGGCGTTTGGTACTTTATCTGTTCTTAAATGTCATTTGTAGGTTTCTTGACTCTCTGTGATTTAAGTTTATTGTTGAAAGCTTGCCAATCCAATGGTGACTAAACCTCATTTTCCCTTTCTCTTCCTCTTCGTTGAATTAGCTGTAAAAGATTATTCTGCAAGTTCTTAGTATGTGATCATGCAAGATCTGCATGGCTCTGATTACAATCTTCAGTACAAGTGCCTTCTGATAAGGACCATGAACTGATTTCTTGCCGCTAATTCAAGATAGTTACACCAAAAGATGGAAAAGAACAACACAAATGTAGCTTTTGAATATGTATTGATGACAGTGACTGTTTCCTAGTTTGGTTGTTTAATGCAAGTCTTAGTTGTGGAGATGACCATTAGTTGTATCTCAACTAGTTACCTTTTCTGTGCTTTTCTCAGGGAACAGTGCTGGATCTAAACTTGTTAACCCAGGATCCTTGACGATTTTAGGTCTGCATTTGACTATGCTTCCTTTCACAAAGATGAGTTTTTTCTCCAATAAGAAGGAGGTGCAGAGGTCTGCAACAGCCCTAGGATATGTTGCTCATGTGTGTTCTATCTCTCTGCTCAACTTACTGACATGGCATTGTCCTTGATATTTTCATTTTCTGCGACATGTTTAAAATTTGCTTTGTCTGTATCTGACATTAATCTTACCGAATCATGTTAGAATTGATACATGAAAGATATCCTGAAAACATTTTGTACTAGATATGTCAGTGAGAGTTATTTCTACTGCGCCATGGCCTAATGAAGGCATTACTTTGACTGTGCCACGTTTTTAGTTATTTACTGTGAATTTAATTGCTTAATTTTTGTTGATTAGACTGTCATTCAGAAAGCTTCTTTATTGTTTTGGGTTTTATGCAGGCTGTGTCACTTGTATCCTCTTACTTAAAAGTTCCCATCCGTTATCCTGTGCGCTTGGGTGGTTCACATTCTTATATAATTGATCCTGCACCTTCGATAGAGCCCATATCATCATCAGTGGAGTCTTCAAAGTCAACAACTCAATCCACTGTGAAGCCTGTTGAATTCCCCCTCTTTCTAGATGGTCAAGATACAACACGAGCAGCTTATGCGGTATTCCTGTTGAACAAGGTTAGTCACTCATATTTCTACTGTCATGGGTGTGTTATTCTCCGGTTTGTTTCCTATGTTTCCAATGGAACCCCTTGTCCGTTTTTCTTGAAATTTGAAACCCTAATTAGTTCGCCTGAACTTCCTGAGTGCCAATTTTCATTCTTAGTTTTAACTTTACAACTTTTTCGCATGCTTTCGAAGGATGGGGTCTCTTGTTGTAATACCAATTACAACTGTTGTTATCAAATGACCATGCTTGAATGAACAAATGATTTCTTTCCTTGTTTACATCGGTGAGGCGCTAATGCCGGTGTCGACATGTTTCTGTGTGTTTCGAAAAGCCGGTCTCTTGGTTCTTAATCCTACTACACAATGCCTTGGTGATGTTTGTAGGATTTGGAGCAGCTGTTGAATTACATTGGTGTCAAGAGTTTAGGGCCGCGCCATGTATTAGCTAATTTGAAGGAGCTTGTGAGGACAGTTCAATCTGCCGAGTTTTTAGAATCGTGATTCAGAGGCACCTTCCGTAAAAAATGTTTGCAACTTGTCTCTCTGTAAAGTGTACTTGTATTCTTACACAGGTGCAATGTTTTGGTTTCTCTTCTTCTGTTGCAGCACCTCTCCCCATAACCCATAGGAATTCTACTTAAATGTCTTTTATTCTCTTTGCTTCCTTAGGTAGGAACTAGGAACCCTTTTTTGTCTCATTAATAGGAAACGAAAGTGTGAGATTCATTGCTTACCCCTTGTAATAGTGAAAGTTCGATTTGCAGTTAATCCGCAAATCGCAGTTAATCCGCGAAACACATGTGGTTTGGTTAATTGATTTTTGTTAAACCGCAAATACCATGCTATCTCATAAATTTTTATCTACATTTCAGTTCATGATACCATTAACAATAATTCACAATATAAAGCACTAAAACTAGGGTTTGGTTTGAATCCCCCAGCTGAGAATTCATCTTGTGGCCATTGGGTAGTAGTCCTCCTGCTTCTGGCTGGCGATTTCCAGCTCCCCTATCTTCTGATGCAGCCTTCTCCGCACCACAGGCAGCAGCTTCTCCGGCTCTGCTTCGACCATCGTCACCATTTCCCGCCCTTTATCACCGTACATTGCTTCCACGCATCTCAGGAATCGGATCCGACCCTTCTCCCCTCCAATCTCTTCATCCTCACCACCACCATCGCCTCTGTCTGTTCTGTTCATTCGCTCCTCGATGTAACGAGCCACGGACTGGAGGCGCTCCTTCAGTTCGTCCGCATCTTCCTCCACCTCCCTTACCGGCAAAACTGTTTCCTGACCGTCGCAAAGCCGCCGCCTTTTAACCTCTCGTTCCTCCGCTGCCTCAGCCGTCGGTGGACGCTGCAGCAGCAAGGCAGCTTGGAATCTCTCCTTCACCGGGGTGGTGGCAGCAGCAGCAGCAGAAATCCTCCTGGTCCTGCTGCATCTCTGTTCTGCTTCGTCAGGTCGCCGTCTCTTCGCCACTTCTGGTGCCAGTTCAGCAGGGGTCTTGCCGAGACTGAAGCGGTACAAGCTCGGCAGATGCTGCTGGTAAATCTCTGAAGAGGAGGGTGATTTCCTCCGCATTTTCTGAATCCAACCCAGACATCGGCTCTTCTCGCCTGCGAATTGGTCCCTGAACTTTCCATCTACTTCTGCAACAACTCGATCTGCTTTCCTGGTGCCATTATTATCAGTCTTTCTGTCACAGGTTTCTTCCTCTCTGCCAGCGGAGCCGCCGCCACCACTCGGAAACAGAGGAATCGCAGGCTGTGGTGGCTCTGCTCCAGCAACCACCGGCACAAATCCACTAGTAGCAGGATGCCTTCTTTGGCGCGAACTTGAAGTCTTGATTCCTAAATCCGCCATGGCTGCTGCTGCTGGTACAGTAGGGAGTACCCGCGGCGCCGCCTCTGCCATAGCAGGCCTGATTGGCGCAGCCTTGGCTTCTCCAGGTTTTAGGACTGAGACCGGATCAACAGGAAGATAGGAATTGAACTTTTCGATCAGATCTTCTTGCCCGTAGAGGATTTTCCTGACAACCCAGAGCAGATCTTCAGGACGCAGCGCCGCCAAGTCGGGGCCGCCGCCGCCGCCGCCGATCAATCGGATCGGGGAATCGGCGAGTTTCTCCAGCACGCTGCAGAAGGTCCGGTAATTTCCAGGCTTCCCGAGTGAGCGGAACTTGACCTCGTCCAAGAAATCCATCGCTTGCCCTAATCGCTCCTCTGTGATGGCTTGCGGTGGAAGTAACTCCCTCAGACGCCGGCAACCGTCGCTGTAATCGCCGCTTCTCTCCATCTCTCTCACCGTCTACTTCTCTCTCGCTTTCAGTTCCAGGACTCTGCGAAGGAAAAAAAAAGAAATAGAATCAATGGATTGTATATATATGTGACTGCTGAGGGCGCCAATTTGTCAATCGCCGTCGACCGGCAGTCCTAATATTGCAGCAGGGAATTTACCGTGGCCGGTTAGGATTAGGAATCATCCAAGAATGGTACGGACTACAGACTAGGGAGGCGAATGGCAGAGACAAGAGAGTAGGGTATCATATTATTTCGTATTATTGTATGTCGACTTTTGAGTCAGCATTATTTGATATTCTCGAGATTGAGATTGGTATATAATATTATAATATATTCATTAAAAATATCAAATTTTTTTATTTAATTAAACATAGCCTAAAATTTGGTCGTTTGCTTCATGGATTTGAAAAATGAGGGTTTTGCTAAAACCTGGGTTTTGGAAAACTATGGATATATGATGGATTTGGTGGCATTATGGATTTGAACAAGTCTATTGTTTGCTTGATGGATTTGATTATGGACTTTGTTTGATTATATTTGTGGATATTAAATACAAATTACCTAGTTACCCTTATTTAATTATATTTCGATATTCTAATCCAAATCTTTCATTTAAAACTAATCCAAAACATAGAAAGAAATTTTAAACTTTTTACCACTATGTGGATTAATAATTCAACTACAAATATAGAAATGTATTACAATTTGGCACTAATTAACAATTCATCTAATAATGTACGCAATATTATGTATCAATTGCAGCCAATTGCTCGCTTTATTGCTACAACTCATCATCTTCTTGCTAACTCACCGATGTGGAATCCGACAATCAATCAAATAATAATGTACAAGATGAGCATAAAGTGTTTCTAGGTGAATCTAACAAATCACATATACATTCATATTTAAATAAAATACGATATTACAAAATGAAATGATAAATTCTCATATTTATAAAATACGAAATTATAAAAGTTTACAGTTGCATGACCATTGAATTAAAGTAGGACAAATTTGTAATTAAAGAAATAATTAAGGGTAGAAAGGTAATTTACCATCATGGATTTTAATCCATCACCCAAATCCCACCTCAAGAGGTGGAACTTCCAAGTCCGTGGGGTCCACGGATTTGGAACCCCAAAAGAGGTGGGCCCCACAAATTCCATCTCCCTAATTCCCTAAGACAAACGATGGATTTCGGTTCAACTCCATGATGGATATAATTTCATGACCAAATCCATCACAAAAATCCTCAAGCAAACGACCCCAATTCCTGTGTCATCCCTTTACCTGTGTCACTCTCGTCACTATATTTTTTTCAAAACACCATTCCTGTGTCACTCTCATCACTATCTTTTTTTTCTTTTTTTCAAAACACCAAAAGGCGAACATTCTCATTAGTCATCTCTCAGCCTCCAATCTATCAAATAAAAAACTATCAAAAGCAAGAAACAGAGATATCGACATTTTCTCCCTTCTCCATGCCACTGCCTTAGTTGCAGTCAAACTCAAGACACTTCAATTGAGTTGAGACTTTGATTAGGTTTTATTAGTCTTTTTCTCACCTCAACTTTCACCACAAAGGTTTAAGATTTTATTAAAAAAACTAAACCTACATGCCTATAAAATACTTCAAATTAGGGGTGCCCAAACCATCTTTTTAATATTATCATTAATTTTAGGCTCAAGTTAGGGTGCATAACCATGGGTTATGCACCCATCAATAACCAAATCTGAACCCATCATTTAGAAAATCCAGATCTAAGGATGAAGAATTAAAGTCCATTTTTATTTTCACTAGCTTTCTTAATTGACTCATATCTTTTTCGTTTTGACTCGGATTTTAGTTTTTTTTACACAGATGGAACGAGTTCATCATGCTCTACAAAATGAGATCAATTTTCAATATTTTTTGAGGAAAAAATTTCTGGCCTCTCGGTACCAACTGCATACCATATGGTATCTTCTTCGTTTTTAATTCGTTTTTAAAACGTTTGCACAGCAGGGACGAGTTCATCATGATCTATTGGATCTACAAATTTCTGGGTGAACAAATTACAAGACAAAAAAATACCACACAATACCATACAATACCACCCTGGTACGGGGTGGTATTTTATGGTATCTTATGGTATACATTGTTAAAAGTCGTAAATGACAATTAATATACTTCTACTATCATGTATTCAACCATCCTATAGTTTTGGTTTGTGTCATACCACCATGGTACGCTTTTCAAACCATATGTATGCTCTTATTTCAATACCAGTCAATACCATATGGTATAGACTGGTATAAAATGGCTCGATTTTTTTTGTTCGAAAAATATATCAAAGTGGATATAATTTTGAAGAGCACAATTAATCTGATCTAACTGTGCAAAAAAAATTAAATTTCGACTTAAAACGAGTGAGAAATCGTTCGTCAAAGATTAAGGAGGGGAAAAGGCTTTCCAGGAGAGAGAATGCTGATGTCATGCTGATGTGGGCGGGTTACTCATAGTTACTCACCGTAAGGTTACTGACCTGATCCATTCGCTTAATTTTAACATATCATTTTGACTTTCAGAATTGTGATATTTTGTACCAAAATACGGATGTTGTATTATTTTCCGCTGAGTGGAGTTTGGGCCGGGCCCAATCTATAGGATCGGCTGTCAACAACTAAACCCAAGGCCCAAACGGACTAGGGAAAATGAATGTTTAGTTATTTACAATTTTGTCCTTTTCGTGTCCTCGTTTTTCCCGTGATCCGCTTTCTGATTGTTGGCTCAGCGGTCTTTCCTTCTTTCAAACAGCAAGAGGATTCCGTGGAAAACAAGAAGGACCAAGCTCTGCCCTCTCCGCCACTCCACCTAACACCTATATATAAACAAATCTGCCCGCTCCTACGAACCAGAAACGGAGAATATTGCAGCCGCTCGCCGTCGACAATTTCGAAGAAGACCAATCGGAGCGGAAGAAGAAGAAGCAGAAGCAGAGTACAGCGACGACGATGGTGTCAGCAGTGGAATTGAACTTGGAGAGCAAAATCAAGGAGCGATTGGCGAAGGACGAGGCGGCGTACGGCGCTTTCGTCGAGTGCTGGAGGCTGTACAAGGGAGGGAGGATGAGCAAGCACGACCTCTGCTGCGAGATCATCGGCCACTTCTCCGACGAGATCCACGACCTCGTCCCCGACCTCCGTAACTTCTACAGGGACTCTTCCGCCGCGGTTGTCGTCGTCGTTGGCTCCTCAACGGCCGTCGCTTGATCTGTAGAAGATGTTCTATTCTCCGGCCGGTAGCGGCGTTATGCGAAATTTCAATTTCGTGGTTTTTCTTAACCCTTGTTCAGTTGTTCCCTCTTGCGTTTATGATAGGTGTGAATAATTGTTGCGATTTCATGGATTGGGAATGAAAGTGAATTATTATTGATCATTAGGGTTTTGGGTATTGTGATTTGGGTTAAGTATACCTAAGTTGCTTCTACTTAACTTGAAAGCAATGGCAATGGCAAGGAAAAGGAGAGTTAGGGATTATTATCAATCAACTATCATTGGAAAGAAGCATTTCGAGGAGCTATTCTCATATGACAATTTCAAATGGAGACGGTTCACATATTGCTGGTACATCGACTGGTATATGTAAGTCCACACAAATTATTTCACAGTTCGTATAATATAATCAATGAAATTGATCGCAAGGTAAGATTATTGACGCAATGACACTGTCTGTGAAAATCTTAGAAAAAAAAAAACCTTTATTTGGAGTTCAATTCAAACCATATTATCAGATTCCTACCATGAAAAATTGTTAGGTTGTTTGGGAGACAATTGTCTAGCTAGAAAGTCATAATACCTACAAAGTCCAGAATGATTGAAACTATTCTAAAAAGTAAAAACTAAAAGAACAACATGACTTGTAATTTCATTTACAAAAGCAATGGAGTTTTTTTTTAACAACCTTCTATTTTGAGATCCCACCAAATTGGAGTTCTAATTTACAAACAAAACTTCATATCTATATATATACAAAATCATTCACTAAAAGCAGAGCTAAAAAATTCCATATCCTCCACCCAGGCCTCTCGGCTCTCACAGCTTCATCTGCTAGCTGAAGCTCAAGCGGGCAACTCAAGCTTTACGTTCTTCCTCCAGCTGCCCAAACCCAAAAAACAGTAAGGTCAAAAAATTTAAAGAAATTTGGTCCATAATATTTTTTTATGACGAAGAGAGTTCTGCATTTGGGATATAAGATCCACTTTTGGGCTTGGCGGATCAAAGAGAGTTCTGCATTTGGGAAGCAGATCATAGAGTGTTCTGCGTCTGATAAAGTCCTTGTACCGAGAATCCCATCAATTCAAGGCGTCTGGCGGATCAAGATAATCGTTGAGGAGAGGACACGAAGTTCGGTGGTCTTTCGGTGGCCTCGGGATTTGCGACCGCGTCTGTTTGGCGGATCAAGAGAGATATGCGTCCTGGGATGTTTGGTGGATCTATGAGAGATCCATGTTTGTTTGGCGGATCAAAGAGAGTTCCGCGTCTGGGAAAATCCTTGTACCGAGAAGCCCATCGATACAAGGTGTCTGGCGGATCAAGATAATCATTAAGGTGAGGACACGAAGTTCGTGGTCCTTGGCTTGAGGAAAAGATTGTTATGGGACAATCCAAGTACCACATCGGAAATACAAAGGAAAGAACCCTTGTATATTAGTGTCCACCTAGCCCAATTAGTACGAGGCTTTTTGGGGAGGACACCCAAGAGTAAAACCGTGCAGGCTTGGCCCAAAGCTAACAATATCTTACTAATTGAGCGGACTAGTTTGACAAGAACAAAATGAAATACAGAAAGATCATGCATATTTTATATAGTTATAGACATTAGGAATTAACAAATGGCAAATGGCTCTAAAAGCGTGTGTACCTCCTTGAATGTGAGTTTCTCGTGTACAAAGACAGCTAAAGCGAAGGAGAGGAGAATGAGATAAGATCGCGGGAATGTGTCTTGATCCTTGTCGTACGACCTCCAGTCCAGTTTGTGGTGCCTGATATACCAAATGATAGAGAACGCACTTCCTAGGTATATCAATTTCATGGTCGTGTTGTACAACGAAATGAAATGAGTGAAAAGATCCAAGTAACGTGTGGCGAACACCAGAAAGTAAAGCTCCTGAGTTTTCAAAGAAACTCCTGCACCCATTGTATATCATATTTATTACGATAACACGTACATGAAAGAATATATCTCATATGGGAACAAGAAGAATAAGAAGATTTTACCTGCACAAGATTTGATGGTGTGGATCTTGAGGAGGAGAACAAGGATACTGGCTAAATGTGTCATGTCCCCTGCAAGCCTAAATATATTCATCTTGCTGCTTGTTTAATATGTTGACTACTTACAAAAAGTCCCTCCTATCTGTTGTGCAATGTGTTTGGAACCAACCGGAAAAATCTTTGTATTTTTTCCCAATAAAGTTATGGGATCGAAATCTAAAGAGAACCAAAATCTTTTCTCGATCCCCAAATGATCCAACACAATACTACAAAGAATTTTTTTTTTGCTTGGTTTTCTTCTTCCTTTTAATCTCTCTCCCTTGTTCAAGGCCTAGAATATTTGTTTCCTTTCCTCGAATTTTTATAACAATGATCTCTGTTTCACCCTCACGATTCGTGGGTATCTCAAAAGTCAGAATTGCTTTGCTTAGATTTTGAATCTTGTTTTGTATTTTCTATTATGTGCAATGGTAAAAAGAAAAAGAATCAATGAAAATATGATATTTTTAGGATGCAAGTGAGAGCCTTAAATTAATGACTCTTCATATATTTTTTTTACCATCAAAACATTCTGAATGTATGATTTCAAGAGTCATTGTTAAAAAGATCACGGAGAGTTACGAGTAGGATGATCATATTGGATTGCGAATGAAGACGAGTAGTGGATTATTACAGGGTCAGGGAGTAGGGATGAGATTTGAGTTCGTGTGGTGTGTGGGGATGATTTTACTTTGTAGAATCTCTGGCCCGTGGTTTCAATGTGGTGTTTTTAAGAGACACTTACTAGTCATTAACCATGATGTAGGCTAAGAAAATTTTCTTCGAGCAACAGACCATTCCCAATTCCCATAATGGTTAATAGTACTTTCGTTTGTTTGATTCCAAAGAGCGAAACTAGTAAGGATGTGTCTAATTTGAGGCAATGCAACTCTCTTAAACCTTTCTTGTTTATCATTATTGTTACAGAGGTTCTTTCTAAGGGCCCGTTTAGTATTGTTGCTTGTTTTTGTTTCCTGTTGTGTTTTAAGAAATTTGGAAAACCAAGGAAAAAAAATCGTGTTTAGTTGGGTTTTTATTTTTTTGTTGTAAATCAGAGTTGCACAACAAGGCCCAAATATGAGAAACAACAATTTATAGCTTTGGATCTGATTCTTAAACATGTTGCACACGGGATTCCTACTGGTTGGGCGCTTGATTTCATTAAAACAGACCAGTTTTCGAATCCCCACAAAAGCAAATTTTTTTTTAACATAGCCGACCCCCCAAAACCCTAACAGCCGCCCCCAACCTCACATCTGCGCCTCCATTTTCTTTCTTCTTCTCTCTCGACAGAGACTCACCAGTCACCCCTCACCTCACATCTGCCCGCCGTCGCCCACCCTCCCCCGCGCGCAGCCGTCGCCGTCGCCCACCCTCCCCCGCGCGCAGCCAGCCGCCGTCCCCGCGTGCAGCCTCCCCCCGCGCGACCCTCGCCCAGCCAGCCGCCCAGCCGCCGGCCCTGCCTCCGCCCACAAACGTCGCCGACGCCCTGCCTCCGCCGCCAGTCCGCCGGCCGCCGACCACTTCCCCTCCATAAACACCTAACTCCATCTCCCCACAGCAGGTAATTTCGACTTCCCCTCCATATACTTTCTGAATATGTTCTTGAATTATGGCATGTATTTAGTGATTGATAGATTAGTTATTTGTGAATTTGGATTGATTGCTATATGTTCTTTGTTTTGTGGTTTACCTCAGTTATGGAGAAAATTGTTGAAAATGGTGATGTTGATTGTGTGGAGATTCAGAAAAATGATAATGGGGAGAGGGATGATAGCAAAATATGGGGTGATAAAGCTGAATCTGTGTTCATTGATCTTTTGGTGGAAGAAGTTAAAAAGGGAAATCGTGTTACTTCAACCTTTTCACCAACTGGATTCGCCAATCTCATTGCTGGTTTGAAAGAGCGGTTGAAAAGAGACTATACTAAGACTCAAGTGAAGAATAAGTTTAATGGGTTAAGGGGTAGACTCAGATCTTTCAAGACATTGCTTAGTCATACTGGAGTGCGATATGAAGCTTCAACTGGTTTTGTTAGTGCAGAAGAACATGTTTGGGAAAGTGCTGTCAAGGTAATAAATCAATCTCTTTTCAATAATAATAATACTAATTAAAATGAATGTTAAAAACTCATTTTACTTAACTTGAGATGATTTTATTAATGAGTGTAGGGTTCAAAGTTGCATCTTAGATTCCGAAAGCATGGATGTCCAGAATATGACAAGTTGTGCTACATATTTGGTGACACTACTGCTTCTGGAAATAATGCTCGTCCTTCAACCAAAGCTACTTCTAGTAGTAATGAGGAAGAGTTGGCTACAACCAAAAGTGTTGAGGTAACTAATCTTGATGGCGAAGAGGAAGAAATTGGTGCAACTCCTGTTGTTGAAAAGGAGGATAAGAACAAAAACAAAGGCAAGGGGGAAAAAAGAAAGCGAGATAAGATTAGCTATGCTGAGTCCATAGGAACATTGTTGTCATCCATGGTTGAGCGAGAGAAAATGAAAGTTGAGCGTGAGGCACAAAAGATGGCTTCTTCATCTGTGGGAGGAGGTGAAGTCTCCTCCAAGCCAAGTGATGATGGGCAACTTATGGAGTGTGTCAAGCTTTTGGATGAGATGAAAGTTAATGGTGCCTTGTTTGCATCAGCTGTGAAGTGTCTCCATGATTCTAAAGAATATCAAAATGTGTTCTTGAATGTGTCCGAAGAGAGGAGGCGTGATTTGTTGCAGCTTTGGATGTGATGGATGCTTTGGCTGTTTTGTTATGTTTAAAACTCTCTTGTTATGTACTATTTTGGAGTGTTATCATTTGGTTTGAAGTTGGTTTGTAATGAATATTTGTATGAATGTTGGATTTGATTATGATGTGTAATGAATGTGTTGTGATGTTTTTTATATGGATGTTCATTACTTTACTTTGTATACACAGATAAATGGCTACTTTTTCAGATTCATCATCAGACTCTGATGACGATAAATTAGTAGTAATAATGCTAGCATTGATGGAGGAGGAGAGGAGGAAGTCACCTTCTAAAACTCCTTGTAGAACATCAGATAAAAGAAGACATGATTGGGTGCAAGAGATTCTCCGTGGGCATCCAATTCGAATATATGAGCAGTTAAGGATGGATAAAAGGACATTTGTTTCTCTATGTGAGGAACTAAAACGATATGGAGGGTTGGAATCAACAAAGAATGTGACAGTTGAAGAACAAGTTGCAATATTCATGAAAGTTGTTGGGCACTCATGGACCACTAGAGATGGCGCAGAAAGGTTCCAACATTCCACAGCCACTATATCAAAGTACTTTGGCATAGTGTTGAAAGCAGTCAACAAAATTGCAGTAAGGCTCATTAAACCACCAGATATGGGTGTGGTTCCAAAGCAGATCATGGATAACTAAAAATTTTACCCGTATTTTAAGGTTAACTTCTTATCCTTTATTTCATATTGCACATGTTTCATATTATGATGATCTTGATATAGGTATATTGTCTTACAGGATGCTGTTGGTGCTATAGATGGAGTGCACATTGATGCTGTAGTTCCAACTGATAAGCAAATCCCCTATCGAGGACGAAAAGCAAAAACAACACAAAATGTTTTGTGTGTTTGTTCTTTTGATATGCTATTTACTTATGTAATAGCAGGATGGGAAGACACTGCGAATGATGCTAGAATACTAATGGAGACAATCGCAAATCCAGATAATGATTTTCCAATGCCACCAAAAGGTATGATATCTACAGTTCATTCATTTATTAATACAATATGAGTGATAGTGAGATCTTATTAGTTTATTTTCAACATATTCATTTAGGTAAATATTATCTTGTGGACTCTGGATTTCAAAATATCCCTGGATTTCTAGCACCATTTTGAGGAGCTACCCGTCATTTTCAAGAGATGAGGCGTAGAGGCGGACCAAGAGGGCGTAAAGAATTATTCAACTTCCGGCATTCAAGTCTGCGTAATGTGATTGAGCGTTGCTTCGGAGTTTTAAAGGCAAGGTTTCCGATTCTAAAGTTCATGCGATCGTATAGCTTGAGGAAGCAAACAAGTATTGTCATTGCTTGTTGCGCCTTACATAATTTCATCAAGATTCATGCCGAAGATGATAAACTATTTCATGAATATGAAAATTATGAAGATGAAGAAGGTTCGACTTCTGGGGTTGAACTACCACTCACTGAGTTCAACGTCAGCTATGCAGCAACACGTGAGATGACCGAGAAGCGTGATGCCATTGCTAACCAGTTATGGAGTGATAATCATGTTTAGTATTATTTTTTATGTAAGGAACATGAAAGATGTTAGGCAAATTGAATTTTGTGAGACTTTGCTTAATATTGAGGACATATCTCTTTTGTTTTTGTTTTTAGTTCTTACAGTAGTAACTAAACGCGTTTTTGTTTCTTGTTTTCAGCTTTCATGATTTTTCAGATTTATCAACTAAACAGGTTTGTGTTTTCTGTTTTTTTCCTGTTGTGGTTGTACATCTGTTTGCACAACACCACTGCAACCACAACAACAACAAAATGATACTAAACGGGCCCGAAGTATTTGGATCAGCTTAGATATTAGAATTTCTCCAAGGTATTTTATATGGTAACTCCGGTTTATGATGCTGATAACACTTTGGTCTTTTGTGAGGACTCAATGGATCAGTTCCGGTCTATCTTTGTGGCTTTTTTTTATACTCAATCTAATGTCTTAAGGTAAATCACTAAATCTACCTAAGAGATCCATGTCTGAATCCATGACTTTGTAACTACCAAAGCAAATGTCATAACTATAAAAGACATTGATTTCAAGATTAAACATTAAAATGAAGTCCAATTAAACCCCAATCTAATCCATTTTTCATCCAAATCCTTATGGGTTTGGTTCACTTTCTCACTCAGTTTTTCATGGCACTTTGAGAATCATTAACATTACGTTATATACGATAATAGATTTATTATACTAAAAAGAATTGATGAATTAGCTTAATTTATGGTGTAAGAGTTTCTTTGTCTGGAGTGGAGTTACAGGATCCTGCTATTGTGGAGTTTGCGACATTGCGTGATGCATTCCCTTGGTGTGTCCATATTGATATACAAAATGGCAATTGCAAGGGGGACTCCAAGATTGTACTTGAGAAGGTAAATCAATGGGACACATGAGATGTCAACGGTGAGGCCATCTTGGAGGAGGTTGGTCGGTTTCGTCTGGTGTTTTATTTGTTTGAGGTTCAGTTTTTTCAATAAGGTTAGTAATAAGGTAGTTAATTTGTTGGTTAGTAAGAGCAGCGGCATCGATCTGTCTCTTTCTCTATTTCAAAGTGACATGGCAATGTCATTTGCCATTTCATGATTGTAGTTGTAGCCACCTATTTTAATAATGAAATATTTCATTAGATGGAAGAGCAAATGAAATTGGAAGTGAGGTAGCAAGTGAGTTCACTTCAGTTGGTTAGAGTATATAAATTATTTAGTCGTATTGAAAATATGAATTGAGTCCACCATATGAAATTGAAGATAAATTTCATGGATGTAGATGAAATGGAAGTTAAAATATGGAATTGTATATGTGACAGTAAAAGCCACATATGAAATAGATAGACTATTTCATGGTTGTTGATGGTCTATTGAGGTAGTAATTGGTTTCAATCAGCTGCTGATTGGATCGGTCACAACGACGACTCAGCAACTCAGGACACGACACAACCGCAATGGAAAAGCATTTGGAAGTGGGATGGCCCGAACCGCATTCGACACTTCCTCTGGCTTGTGTTCCACAACAGATTAATGACGAATTGCGAAAGGAAAAGAAGGAAGCTTTGCACCCAAGACACTTGTGAACTTTGCAAGACACCGCCTGAGTCAACAGAGCATATCCTCCGCCAATGCCCTGCAACCACCCAGGTATGGCAACATATTGGAATTGTGGACAGCAGCCTAACGATTGCCCCCCTCAATATGACAGATTGGATGGCGGAGCACTTAAAGCACCCGCAGACGAGTCTCCTTTTTGGTGTGGCAGCCTGGTACCTGTGGAAAAGACGGAATGAGTGGATCTTTCAATGAAAGCAGCAAGACGCCGCCACCCTTGCACAGCGAATTCAAAGCTGGACCCGGACGATTGTAGAAGCCCAGGACAACAATGCAAGAACCCAGGTCGGGCAAAAGAGTAAAGAAGCGAAGGAACTTTCTTGGCATCCGCCACCGCCAGGTTGGATTGCTATCAATACAGACGGGTCGGTCAAGCAACCAGATTCCAGAGCAACTGCTGGAGGCCTCCTGCGTGACCTCTTGAGACGTTGTATAGGAGCGTTTGCCTCTAACTTAGGCTCATGTACAATCACGAGAGCGGAATTGAAAGGTACGATGCAAGGCCTGCAACTTGCATGGAGTCAAGGGCATAGAAGAATCCAATTGCGGACTGACTCCACCACGGTTCTCAACATCCTGTCCTCACTGGAACCGTACAATGGAAGATACCAGGGCCTCATGAGACAGGTTCAGAGACTACTACAGCAAAATTGGGAGGTTACTATCTCTCACACGTTTAGGGAAGGCAACAAGTCAGCAGATTATCTAGCAAACAAGGGTCACTCTCTTGATATAGGTGTTCACGTCATTGATAAGCAGGATTCGGGGCTTAAGTTTTGGCTCCTGTATGATACTATGGGCATTGCCCAAACTCGTTTAATTTAAGTGTCAGGCAGGGACGCCCTTTTAGCGTCCCACTTTTTAAAAAAAAAGATGATTTCTTTGTTTGACTTATGTGCAAGTAAGGTTGTCAAACCGGTTTATGCCGGTACGCCGGTTTTACAAGTGAAATGGTTCTACCGTGGTAGAACCAGTTTCATGCCGGTTATGCCGGTTTGTGCCGGTTTTACCACAATTTCTGGATATGAATATAATAACCCATCACAAAATATATATCTAAAATACATCCATAATTGAATTAGGACAAGATTAAATACCAACTCATAAATGTTCATAAGTTAATGTTAACATCTAAATGTTCATAGTTAAATTCAACAAATACCACATAAACATTCATAGTTTAATCGTATGTTGAATCGTAAAATATGTTGTATGATGATTGATGAATGTAATAAGAGACCTACAAACCATACTTTTAAATTTGGGCATACATACATTCGTTATATTGTCTATAGTCTATACCCATTCTCAATATACCACGTAATCTTAACACATTAATACTTCAAAAAAAAAACACCCTTTAATTTTAATTAATTTACAGAGTCCAAAAAAGTCCGCCGATATAGATCGCCAGAGACAAACGAAGGGTGGCTTTTGTGGTGGAGATGACACGGCGAAGGGATGAGTCGATGAGAGAAGGGTGCATATATAATTCTGGTTTCCCGATATAGCCAGCGGGAGTTGATTTCTGGAATGGAGCCGCACTGTCTGCAGGGAGTCACATCTCCTTACAATTTTGATTGATTATTTGTTTGTTTTGGTGATGACTGATGAGGACTAAACCAATTTGTGGTGCAATATCCATCTCCTTACATATTTTTGTTGCCCGCGGCGGAAGGAGGCTGCGGCGGAAGGAGGTCGAGACTAGTGGCGGTGGGCGTCTGGGCGGCGAAGTGGAGAAGAATGGGAGAGGGATCAGGGATGCGTCGGGATTTGGAGCTCGGCTGCGCAAAGTGAACCCTAATTTTTTTTTTAACATAAACGCCATCGTTTTAGGCCTTTGGCCGGCATCTCCCAAACCGGTTGAACCACCGGAATTCCCGGTTTTGACCGGCTTTGACCGGTTTTGACCAGTATTGATTGGAGGGTTGTGCCGGTGGTATTCCAGCCGGTTTCATGACCGGTGCCGGTTGGACCTGGTTCAACCGGCCGGCATACCACGGACATGACAACCATGTGTCCAAGTGATTTAATGAGAACTGGGTCAGGTCCAACCGGCCGGCATACCACGGACATGACAACCATGTGTCCAAGTGATTTAATGAGAACTGGGTCTTCACTCTTGGGTCATCCATCGCTTACCAGATCAAATTGGGCTGGCCCATTATGGTTTTGGAGTGCCAACTTGCGGGCCCAAATTCACACCCTCTCCCACCTCCGTCGAGACCCGAGACTCAAGAGACCTCGTCCTTCCCCTCCCGGTGCCCATTTTCTCCCAACGTCCCGCCGCCGCCCCGAGTCGACACAGTCCTTAACTCGTCATTCTTCTCCAAAGCACCCATCGGCCGCCGCCACTCTCGATGCAGTAGTAGCCATCACTCGCAGCCTCATTACCTCTGCCTCTTAGCCAGTCGTATCGCCTCCCGCCGCCCTGCTTCCCATCTCCTCCTCCGGCCTCCCATCTCGCTCACTGCAAGTTTTCTAATTCCACAGGTAGTAGTGTTTCCCCCAAATCGTTCTGAATTCTTGATTGGGTCTCTTTTCATGTCTAACATCGTGCAAGGAAATCACCGAGTGGCGTTTTGATTCCGTCTGGAAGTTACTGATCCATGTGTGTTTTCTCCGTAATGTTTCGATTCTTGGGTTTAGGGTTTTGGTGATTGTTTTAGTTTAACAGTTTTCTAGCATTGACGGGGGAGGAGGGTTTTAGGAAACCCAAATGAAATTGGCGACCCGCGTGAACCATAGCTGGACTTTTGAGGGTTTAGATGATTTTGTAGATTCTGGATGATAACAGTGTTCATTCGTTCTGTTTGGTTTTGGGATTTGAGGTATGCAAGTTGTAAGACTAAAAGGATCGGAATTGGTTTGATTTGCAGGGATAGTAATCACTAATCAAGCATGTTGTTGGCAAGACTTTTCGGGAGAAGGCTCTTTGCTGCTGCTGCTCATTCTGAAACTTATTCAACAACAGCAGCTGCTGCTGGTGCTACAACGGCTAGGTCTGGGCATAATCCTCTTGAGGAATTCTTTGAGAAAGATAGGATCCAAGATGACGATAAGCCTATCGTATATGGTATGTGGGCCTATGCTTGTGTTTCTGCGATTAGCTTGTTACGATTTGATTTACATGAATTACTTTGGGGTTTGCTAGTAGTGAGCTGAAATGCACATGCTAGATTGGTTCTATAGCTGTCTTTAGTGATGTCGAACTATAATCTTGCAAAAACTTTGAAGATGGTATGCTCCATGCCTTACATGTTCTCGACCAATTTTCCCTGACCAGGTCGAAGTTGGAAAGCTTCTGAACTGCGGTTGAAGTCTTGGGATGATTTACAGAAGCTATGGTATGTCCTTCTAAAGGAGAAAAACATGCTGATGACTCAACGTCAGATGCTTCATTCTCAAAACTTGAGATTTCCTAATCCCGAGCGCTTGCCAAAGGTATGTATCGGCTCCTTATTCTCCGTTTAGCACAAGTATGAAGTTGCATTTTTCTTGGCTGCTAAAACTACGGTCGCACAGTTGATGACAGAGTTAATTTGTTAGTTAGAGTTTATTTCATATACTTCTGGACTTCTGGTCAAGATTAATCTGAAATTCATTTCTCTTGTCAGCTGCTATTAAGCTTGAAGATTTTGCATTGTTTTCCCTTCTGTTTCCCCCTTTCTTTTTCTATTTTTCGTTCTTGAAACGATTTTGATGCATGCCTGTGAAATTGCTACCACGAGCAAAGTTATCTGATTTCGCTACTTTTTTGTTGAGACAATATTGTTCCTGTAACTGCTTGGGTGGTATTCCTTAAATGAATTGTTATGGAATGCCGTGCTCCTAAACCTCTCACATCTGATCTTTTCCGTATGATTCGTGAAACCTTAGGTGAGGAAGTCAATGTGTCGCATCAAGCAAGTGCTCACCGAGAGGGCAATTGAAGAGCCCGATCAAAGGAGGTCTGCGGAGATGAAGAGAATGGTGAACACTTTGTAAACACAACACCTAGCCCCATACCTCGCGGCTACTGCACTGCAGGAGTTTCTTCATGGATTGTTCGAGAGTAAGGTTGCATCCTTTCAGGTAGTTAACGTAGGATCTTGGTGTTCGTCAGTTTGATATAGTATGTTTCAAGTCCTTATTTCTGCTCAGAATTAAGTCTACAAGCCAATAATTATGAGTTCTCAGTCCTTCTGGTGATGGCTTTGACATCAATTCATCCTTGGTTCTTTTGTGGTTTATGACTTGGTTGAACTCCCAATCTGAGTGCTGTATGAAATTACTGTAGTTGTTCTCTCCCGTATCCATCTTACAAGTCATCTACCTGGCTTTTCCCATTAGATTTCCTCCCTTCAAATAGTCCTTGTAGTGAAACTTCCTTGTGAGTTGTGAACCCATCTGAACCAAGAGCATGGTCGATGAGGAATTCATCCACGATGTTGATGAATATAGCAGCGTGAAATGTCCAACCATGATGAGGAATTCATCAACTCTAACTGGTGTGCTCATCTTTTGGCCTGTCCGAAGGATCCTTTCATATCGAAAATGACTCGTAAATACGTAAATGGTGACTCTCGATCTAGTCTGATACGCGAACCGTTAAGCATGTTGACCTCGACATGAAAAACCTGGCAACTGCCCCTGTTTTCAAGAGCAAGTCTGTGGTCCTTTGCGTGCCGGGAGACTTTCTTGTCCGACTCCTTTTTCTCCATTTGTGTTCTAAAGATAGGTATGAACTATGAACTACGTGATCTGTCCAAAATATACCTGACATTACATGTCAACTAAAAACGAGAGAAAGCATTCTCGCAAACCATAAAAGAAATGAAAACAAAAAGTAAAAGTCAAGAAAGCAGCATTACTTTCAGTTTGGAATTGGATTTATATTGAACAAGCTTGCAGCATCCTTCCTTCCTCTCCCTTCCCTTGGCCTTTTCCCGCCAGAGTTGGCCGCGTGCCGCAACTGCAAAACCCCTTCCTCACTGTTACTATTCTTTCTTCTATCCTTTCTGCTTCCATGTCTCTTATCCATCACCTCTCTTCTTCCTTACAAATACCTCATCTCTGCTTCACATGGTTCCTCATCCCGCCAGCTTTCATCTCCATTCCACAAATCCTCCCCGGAGATGGGTTTCATCAGCTCGTCTCCAGCAACACTTGTTCTTCTTTTACTGGTGATAAGCAGCTGCTGCTTCTCCTCAACAATCGACGCCGGCGGCATACCCTCGACTCTGGATGGACCATTCAAGCCTGTCACCATCCCTCTGGACACAAGCTTCCGCGGCAACGCCGTCGACTTGCCGCCCACCGACCCTCGAGTGCAGAGGAATGTCACGGGCTTCGTTCCTGAGCAGATTTCCGTCTCCCTCTCTGCCACCCATGACTCCGTTTGGATTTCTTGGATCACAGGTCTCCATTCCCATCCATCTTCTTGATTGTCCTTCTTTGTTGTTTCTTTCTTCGTTTTCGCCAAAATGAGCTGGGTTTCTTCTTGTGTGGATGCAGGGGATTTCCAAATTGGGGAGGAGATTCAGCCATTGGACCCCAAAACTGTAGCGAGCATGGTGAAATATGGAACCACCAACTCGTCATTGAACAATGTAGCTAATGGGAATTCCCTTGTTTACAGTCAGCTGTACCCTTTCGAAGGACTCCAGAACTACACCTCTGGAATCATCCACCATGTTCGTCTTCAAGGTACCATACATTCGAATCCCAATCGATTTCCATCTGATATGAAATTATATTATCTTGGTACTTCACCAAGTTGGATATGACATACTCTCTGCTCATATTTTTAGGGTTGAATCCGAGCACCACTTACTTCTACCAATGCGGCGACCCTTCCATATCAGCGATGAGCGATGTACATTCGTTCACCACGATGCCAGCTTCGTCCTCGCAGAGCTACCCTACCAGAATTGCCATCGTGGGAGACCTGGGTCTCACTTACAACACCACTTCCACAGTTGACCATATGGCCTCCAACAATCCTGATCTCATCCTGCTGGTTGGAGACGTCAGTTATGCCAACCTGTACCTCACGAATGGAACCGGCGCAGATTGCTACACCTGTGCCTTCCCCGATAGTCCGATCCACGAAACCCATCAGCCTCGTTGGGACTACTGGGGGAGGTACATGCAGCCGGTGATCTCCAGGGTCCCGATCATGGTGATCGAAGGGAACCACGAACTAGAAACGCAGGTTAAGAAGAAGGTGTTCGAGTCTTACAGCGCTCGATTCGCATTCCCTTCGGAAGAGAGCAAATCACACTCCACGATGTATTACTCTTTCAATGCCGGAGGGATTCATTTCTTGATGCTCGGTTCCTACATTGGTTACCACAAGAAATGTACGTTTTACAGAACACACAAAGCTAGTGAGCAGATGTAGTTAGCTAGTTAGTGAATCATATGAGCTGTAAACTTGATTAATTTCATTCTTATGCAGCACATCAGCACAAGTGGTTGAAGAAAGATCTGGCTAGCGTCGACCGAAAGGTGACACCCTGGGTCGTGGCGACATGGCACGCGCCTTGGTACAGCAGCTACGCCGCGCATTACAGAGAGGCAGAGTGCATGAAGGTCGCAATGGAAGACTTGCTTTACAAGCACGGGGTCGATATGGTCTTCAATGGACATGTAAGTATGTACATTGTATGCTGGACAGTAAGGGGGGAAGATGGTTATGAATGGCAATGTTGATGAATCTGGCTGCAGGTACATGCCTACGAGAGATCGAACCGCGTCTACAACTACGAGCTCGATCCTTGCGGACCGGTTTACATAACCGTGGGCGACGGTGGGAACCGAGAGAAGATGGCGATCCCACATGCTGACGAGCCTGGTAACTGTCCTGACCCGGCCACGACACCGGACCAGATCATGGGAGGTTTCTGTGCGTTCAACTTCACTTCAGGACCGGCGAAAGGCAGCTTCTGTTGGGACCGACAGCCGGATTACAGTGCGTATAGAGAATCGAGCTTCGGCCATGGCATTCTGGAGGTGAAGAACGAGACTCATGCGCTGTGGACATGGCACCGGAATCAGGACATGTATAGTTCTCCAGGGGATCAGCTTTACATTGTCAGGCAGCCAGAGAAGTGCCCCGTTAAAGCTAAGGTACAGTAACAAATTTCAACTTAGTTGTGGATACGGATTGTGAAAGAAGAACCCAGAAAGATATCTTGATATCTTATGTTTGTTGGTTCTTTTGTGTTACTCAGAGGAGGTCGAGATTGGACAACCCCAAGAATCAAAGTTAGAAGCTTTTTCGTTGGATCTATCATTCCTTCTGTGACCACATAATAATTTGTTTCCCCTTTCTAAGCCCTTATCCCTCTTAGGGCACAATAATTCTACAATGTATCCCATTCAATTCATTAGCCATAGTAATGTTGTGCAACTTTCTTATATTAAATTCGAGATAAAGAAAAATAAGAAAAAAAAATATAATTTAAGAACGATTTAAGTCGACGAAACACTCCCGATGATTTGTTTGGATCTGAATCAATGACTACACTCGTAGCAGTTTTTTTATAGGAAGTTTCGTGTGTGTGGTTGTAGAAAGCGTTTTGTAAAGTGATTATTCGCATCCCAACGTAAAATCATAAAGATGATAGTTGGCGAAGTTAGTATCAACGATCTCTAGAGGTGGCAATTGGATCGGATTCGTGGATTCGTGCATTGGATTCGTGGATCCATGGATCAAATGGATTGGATCCAATGGATTGGTGGATTCATGGATTGGATCCAATGGATTGGTGGATTGATCCATGAATCCAAATAACATCCAAGACTTGGACCAAAATGTAAATTTTGAAAAGTTTAGGTACTAAAATGTCATAATGAAAAATTTTAGGTACCAAAATGTAATTTTCCAATGATATTTTTCGTATAAAAATATAAATTTTAGGTACCAAAATGTAAAATATAAAAAATATAGGTACCAAATCGTAATTTGCCATTTGGATCCATGGATTGATCCATGAATCCACCAATCCAATTGGATTTGGATCAAATGGATTGGATTTAAATGGATTGGATTAGGTGGATAATTTGGTGGATGGATTGGATTGAATTCATGGATTTGGATCCTAGTTGCCACCTCTAACGATCTCAGAAAAATTGCGTACTTCGTGCTGCTGCAGTTTAGCTCGAGGTCCAATCATTTTGCTATATAATGTTTTCAGCCTTTTAGGGTTAACCCTAATTTGATAGGATTCCATTTTTATTTTTTATTATAATTAGCCATGTAACTCTAGCATAACTCCTTGTAGCATACTAGCATTGTAGGACTACTGGACTACACTTTTAGCTTCAAATTAGTCTTTCATTATTTTTCCTTTTTAGAGGCCGAACTACCTAAGGAAACAGGCTCCATGGCCCGCCCTAGCAGCTGCCGAAAGCCCATAACTACAAGGCCCAAAACTACCGATCCATTGCTTTCGAATCAACAACAAGCGGCCCGCTATCCACCTCCTCCTCGTGTCCCACGTGAACAACATCAACGGCACCATCACCGTCATCCTCCGCCAAATCACCGCCGCAGATCTGATCGAGAACCAGCACCAATCCCATGGCGAACGCCCCGTCGAACCCGGGCTTCACCGCCAGCGAGAACACGTCCTTCCCCAGCACCACGTTCGTCGACGCGTCCACCTTCCGCCGGATCTCCGCCACCGCCGCTCCCCTCGCCGCGTCGACCACCGTGCAGCTCCGGCTCCCGTAGCTCCCTTCGATCTCGTACTCCTCCCCTGGGTTGTCGTACACCTGCACGCTCATCCCTGACCGTCCGATCATCGACGACCTCCTCACGCTGAACATCGCCTTCTGCCCTTCCTTCCTCTCCCCGAGAAATCCTTCCCACCGCTGATGCAGACTCGGCCTCTGCCAAATTGGGGGGAAATTAAAAAAAGAAGAAACGGAATGCTCAGTTTAGCCGACTTGGAAATCAAATTAGGGTTTTGTTAATTTGGGTTTACCTTCTTCCGGACAGTGAGTAAGCAGCGGCCGTGGGCATCCATGAGGACGAGTTCGTCTCTGTCCCGGGCGTCGGGCCCGTACGAGTCGACTCGGAAGACCAACTCGCCGCTGCTGCAGTCGTACACGGTGAATCCGTCGTTGGCGAAGAACAGGGAAGTTTTGAAGACGGTGAAATGCTTCTCTTCCTGATGCACGAATTCCCCGTCCACCACGATTCTTCTGTCTGTTTCCTTCATTGCGAGATTCAGGGTGCCTAACTAGAAACAGAGGAGGCTGAGATTGGGAGAGAGATGTACAGAAACAGAGAGAGAATGGGGAAGGAAGGAATAGAGTGTGAATGAAGAAAACTGTGGCAGCTTCAAGACGCGGTCACTGTTAATTATAATGGTACTATTCTTCTTCCTCCTCGAAGCAATTATGTCGAAGGGGAATGGTGGGACACTGAGTAGTGGTTGACTGACTCAGTGGGTTGTTTGGGTGGTCGAGAAGGAAAGGAATCAAAGCGATTCCACTACTGGGAAATCTTTTTTCCTCTCTTTTTGAAGCGTACTAGGTAGATTATGTCTGTATACAGCTTGAAGATTCCTTTTTTTTTTGGGACGATAACGAGGGCAAGTCACCCAGGTGCTTTATTTTGCCGCCAAATGGCTCAGATCAAATGACAAACAGTCCAAAATGAAAGATGGAGCAGCATATATATCCAGCCATTACATTCGTGCGGCTAAAGGGATAGTCCCTTGGAGCTTGAGGACAAGATTTTTTGGAGTCTGATTCAACTTCGTAGGCGCCAAGCTGCAACGAAGCAAATGCTAAGAAAATGATTTTCTAAGCTGAGATTCACAAGAAAACAAACAGGGAATTACCGGGAATGCTCAGGAATCGACTGTTTGGTGGCGGGGTGACCGTTGCGTACAACACCCTCATTCGAACTCATGCTGCTACCTCTCCTTTCTTGGCTCTTTCCCTTTTCCGCAACATGCGCCGCCGTCCTGGCGTGTCGGTGGATCATTTCACTTTCCCCTTCGTTCTCAAGGCCTGCGCTCGTCTCCGGCTGGGGATGCATCTTCATTCGGTGATTCTGAAGATGGGTTTCGATTCGGATGTCTATGTGCAGAACGCGTTGATCGGGGTTTATGGTGGCTGCGGCAGGGTGACGGATGCTTTGAAGGTGTTTGAGGAAATGCCTGAGAAGGATGTGGTCTCTTGGTCTTCGATGATTGCTTGCTTTGTTGATAACGGCTCTGTGCAAGAGGCCCTGGCTCTTTTTCAACAGATGCAGATTGATGGCAGTGTGAAGCCTGATGAGGTTACGCTGCTTAGCTTGGCTTCTGCCATTTCAAACATCGGAGCAGTGGAGTTGGGGAGGTGGGTTGATGCTTATATATCCAGAAATGGGTTGGAGCTCACTGTTGCATTAGGTACTGCATTGATTGACATGTTCTCACGTTGTGGTTCTATAAATGATTCGATGAGAGTCTTTGAACGGATGCCTAAAAGAAACATAAGGACTTGGACTGCATTGATTAATGGGCTAGCGGTGCATGGTCGCAGCAAGGAAGCGTTGAGATTGTTCCGTGAGATGAAGGAGGGAGCTGGATTGCGGCCTGATCACATCACGTTTAGTGCTGCTTTAGTCGCTTGCAGTCATGGTGGCCTTGTTAACAACGGTTGGCAGATTTTTCGTTCCATTAAGGAAGAATATGGTATGGAACCAACTCTAGAGAATTACGGTTGCATGGTTGATCTCCTTGGCCGTGCTGGCTTAGTTGATGATGCTTTTAATTTTGTACAAGATATGCCCTGTCAAGCAAATGCTGTCATCTGGAGGACCTTGCTGGGAGCTTGTGTGAAGCATGGTGACAATCTTGCATTGGCAGACCAAGTGAAGCAGAAACTGTCTCAGCTAGATCCTCATCACGATGGGGATTATGTGCTTCTATCAAACGCTTATGGTGGGACTGGTTCATACGCCAAGAAGGCAGAGTTGAGAGCTGCAATGCAAGACAAGAGAATTGCCAAAACCCCTGGCCGTAGTTTGCTTGTCGTGGGTCATGAGATTCATGAGTTTCTATCAGGAGGTGATGATGCTCATCTTCTGGTATATACACAGAAAGTCAGAGACTTCTTACAGCAGATAATCGATAATCTCAGAGTTGAAGGTTATGAGCCGCACAAGTCAAGTGTGTTCCACGACATTGAGGACGAGGAGAAGGAGCAGAGTGTTGGGTTTCACAGTGAAAAGCTGGCAGTTTCATTCGCCCTTCTGAACTTCAAAGATAGGAGAAGAACAATCAGGATCATGAAAAATCTAAGGACATGTCATGATTGTCATTCCTTCATGAAGCATGCTTCGAGAAAATTCGAGAGAGAAATCATTATCCGGGATCGAAACCGTTTCCATCATTTCAAAGATGGATCTTGTTCGTGTCGGGATTATTGGTGAGGGATTGATGATGCTGCTTCACCCAATCACCCTTCTGCCCTTGTGATGGATGGAACACATTCCTCAGTTCCATGTGAAGCCCTGAAGGTGATCTGCTTATTACCAAGAGACAAGGTGGTAGAGGCTTATTAACAGTCATGAGATGGGCTCCGGTGAACAATGGATGTTGGATCCAATCAGCTATTAAGAAAGGACTGCATAGCATATGCTCTATGGATCACAAAGACTTCACAAGGTCTTGAGTCGTTGCATTTTGAACATGAAGGAAGTGCCTTTAGGGCCAAATTTCGGTTGGGAATCTGAGACTTGTTGCGGCAAGGTTAGTCATATTCTTTGGTGAATACGTTACTCATCCCTGTGCTTTCCTTTGCATCATTTTCTTTTATCCCTTTTTGGTCACTGGTCATGTTTGTAAAACAATAATGCATCAGAGGTTGCTGAACTGATTGGAGGGAAACATGAGCTAGAACCACAGGTTGATGATCAGATATCCGTTTCATACAGCTGACCAGTATAAATGGCTAGAAACAGACTTGTACAGTGTCGACAAAAGCCAGACCCCATGGGTGATAGCAGCTTGGCATCCGTCTTGGTCAGAACTTTCAGGTAGCAATAGCTGCTGAGTGCATGACAGTTGAGATGGAGGACTTGCTGTACAGTTATGGAGTTGTAGTCTTCAATGACATGTTACAAATATGAATTTCACCGGGCTCACAACTGCACTCTGGATCCTTGCGGTCCAGTTTATATAGTCGCTGGAGCTGGAAGGAGTCATGAGATGATGGCCATAACACATGCTGATGATCCTGGTTGCTGTCCAAATCCATCTCTTACCCCAGACACTGATATTGGTGGGTTCTGTGCCTTCGACTTCACTTCAGAGAGCACTTCAGCTGGGATCAGCAGCCTGAGTATAATGCATGCAGAGAAACCAGCTTTGGTCATGGGATTCAAGAGGTTTTTCCTCTGCCTGTTCTCCACCATCCATTCAAATTCCCTTTAATTTCCCCAAAACAGAAGAAGAAACTAATTATTTGCAATGAAGGATGAAACTTTTCTTTGTTTGATTGAACCGATTTCTTGCCTTTCTCTATCCTGCAGGTGAAACATGATACATATGTCTATGGAGTCGCAAAGGAATCTGTAGTTAGCTGAATTTGCTGGCGACATTGTTTACATAGTTAGAGAACTTGAAAGATGCCTGCCTGGCTAAACACACAGAAGAATCGGCAGGCGGTAAGTAAAGGTAGTTGGCAGTGCGAGTTGAGAGATCTTCCGAAAGGAATTATAGAACAAGGAGAATCAAATTTACATTATTAGTGATTTATTAGAAGAAACCACGTCCTGGATTTCATTAGGAGCACCAAATGACTGAATGAAGCCTGGCAAGAATCAAGAGAGAATCAATATGATTTCACATTCAAGAACATGAACTGTACTGTACACCTACAAGAAATATTGTGACTACAGTAGGGTTATTATAGATACAATTGCTAACCATCTGAGAGGAAAGCTGAGGAGCACCAAATCAGAGTTGTTTCTTTCCGCAACCCTTTTTTCCTGACAAAACTGTGGCAGCTTTTTTCCAGTGCTTGGCAGAGTAGCTGCTTCCCTGACTCAACAGGTTGGTTTGAAGTTCAGAAACTAAACAAGAGGACGAACACCGAGGCAGCAGGCAGTAGCACTGCAACATCCATGGACCCGATGGAAGCTCTGGAGTTGTCGGTGTCAGTAGGCAGCGGTGGAGCAAGGCCGGTGATGATGGTCGGAGTAGTGGTGGTGGTGGTCGCTGGCGGTGTGAATGAATAGGGTTTAGTTGGCGGTGTTGGGGTTGGAATTGCCCCGCCTGCTGCACTGGATAACATTACAGTTCACCAGATAATGAATTAGGTTCTATTCTCTTGAAGATGGAGGAACAGCAGCATTATTGAAATGCAGACTCATTCGGCATAGCCACACCCCGCTCCAAACCCGAAAAATGGAGATGGAAGAGAATATTTGTATCAGGAAAGATGCAGGGATGAAGAACCCGTGTGTGCTTTTCTTTATACTAACATGAGCACATGAATCTGTTCAGCTTTAGAGAATCTAACATGTTTCCGACAACGAATGAGAACAACAATTTCAAGATTCCATCTCTAGGACCAGGAGATCCTGTCACAACTCTAACCTCTTCTTCTAGGACTGAAACAACCAAATCACTGATTTTGTTTGGTGGCAATCATGATTTAATTAGTTAAAGAAACAAGCTTTATTGTCATTATAAGGTATTTAGCAAAAGCGTACAGTAATCTGAGGAACTTATCATTCAAGTTTGGCATAATACACACAACAGTTGAAGTTGCTGCTGCTGCTGCTACAGAAACTTGAACAAACTGTGATGGAGTCTCCAGAACTCCATTAAACTCTGGCTCTAACACTGTGTTGCTACTTATGAATTGGTAAGAATAAGATAGAAGGATGCATAACATAACATAAAATACCTGAGAGATCCTGGATAGACGCAAGATCCATAGCCTGCAATGAAGGAAAGGAAACATGCCCACGTATATAAGAGGAAAGGGAAACAGAGGAAGAACAGAGAAGTGAGTAGTAGAGACTGACTGGGGTCTGTTCTGGCGATATTCGCGGTGCCGGAGAAGTAGCAGGAGTCAGGGGACATGCCCTTGCGCTGGTAGAAGCTGTTGAATGCGTAGGAAGCGTGAGCTTGGATGGTGTTTGGCAGGAAACAGAGTCCGTTCGACTGGATCGGAGTGCAGTCCGCTCCGGCCCAGCACGCGTAGTCCAGAGCCGCCTTCAGTGCCTGGTAGCTGGCATCGGTTCGAACCACGCACCACGACGACGACCCTTCCACCACCACGACCAGAAGGAAGTGGTGGAGGAGCAATGCAGAGAGCAGCGATGGCGATGCCGCCATGGGAGTTGTGGGTGGAAAGGCAAAAGAAATTAGGGGGAAAAAACAGGGGGAGTGGGAGCAAGTAAGTGTGTTATAGCAAAGAGTGGAGATTAAAGAAAAAGGGGGGAAAGGAGGAAAGGGGAAGTTGGCGTATGGAGGATTGTACTGTTTGGTATTTGTTTTGAGTTGGCAAAGTGCAAAAGCAAAAGAGAAACCATAGACAGAAAGTCAGAAACAGAGTAAAAAGCAGAGGATGGGCAGGGGAAAGAAGGATATGATGGATGGGAATTTGGGAGTGTTGCCTTTCTTTCCCTTTTCCTTTTGATCACTGCATTCTGCAGTGCCAAATGAGAAAAATGGAAAACTTGGAGAGGGAAAAAAGATTAATTTCGTCGCCTGAGAGATTCGAACTCTCGCGGGGAAACCCCATGTACTTAGCAGGCACACGCCTTAACCACTCGGCCAAAGCGACTTTGATGTCTACATTTCTGTTTAATCATTTATTTAAAATGAAAAACAACCATTTTACACTACTCACTAAGTACAGGAATATAATGCAATCTTGGTTACTTGTATTCTGTTCGGCCTACCATTACCAACAATTTCAACTTGGGGGGTGTACAACAGATTGCTCAGGGCCGTATCATATCAAACGTTTGGATCATATCGAACAGAATACAATGCAATCTGGCCCTGGGGGTGACTGTATGTACGAGTCCTGGCTCTCGAGCCGGTACCCCCGGCAACATTTCAAAAAAGTGTGTATGTAAGGTAAAAAAAATGAATTAAATTCTCAAACCCTCTCGTAGAACAAGATGTATGCTTCACAGCGAAGAACTTCGTCCAGCGAAACCTCCTTCACATGGCCATCGCTTGCATAATACCATACCCAATCACCATCCCCACCACCACCACCATTCTCGTCTCCTCCTACTTGTTTCTTGCTCCTCTCCCTTCCTCTTACGTATGCGACGTAATGACCTCCTCTCATCGTCCCCATATGCTCAACCACGCCTGTCAATCTGTAGACACTACTTGTTTTCTCTTCATCTTCTTTCTCACACCTGCAAAGGATTGGAAGGCACGTATTATTGGGTGGGTGATTTCGCGACGGGGTAAGTCTTCCACTATAGCCAAAACGTAGAAGCTTGAGTTATAGATTGGAGGCTACATGTCTTCCCATTTCTCCCAATCAATTGCAAGAGTTGGACCATGACAAAGAAAAGACCACCAGAATCGAGAAACAAAGCATTCAGCTTTTACTAACTCAAGAACATGCACATAAGACAAGGACTATGCCATTGGAACAGTTCACACGCAACAAGAGTACTCTTTAAGGTTATTTGGCCGAGAAAACAAGGCAGGTGAAGCATTGTACCTGGGATTCATGTAAGGTCTAAGATCAAGTGTATCTCTGAAACTGACATGCCCACTTAATTTACTCAGACGACCACGAATGTCTTGGCTAAACCTCTTCAAATGAATAGTTAAAAGAGGTGGTACTTTGTCAATAAGTACCCTTTTAGTTGCATCCCTCTTCACAATCGCTTTCTTTATGGTTTTCTGTTCTTTGCCTTCACTATCCTCTGACTCAACTTTTCTAGGCAACTTCAATCCGTTCTCTTCATTGCCAGCAGAACCAGCAGCATATTCAGCACTGGTAGAAACAGACTCATCAATACCGAAAGTGTTAACAGATGAATTACCATTTGCACCTTCTTCGTTCGCTGGTTCTTCTCCACCACCAGGAGAAGGTGGTAGCACTGAGCGAGGAGCAGCTGCCGTGCCACATCTTTGTTCAGCAATTGGTGAAACTAACAATTTCTGCATATCCACTTGACCGTTTTCAGCAACTGCCATGACATTTTCATTTAGGCATTCGATCTCTCCACCATTAGAAACCAAGTTTTCATCTTTGGGATTGACAAGTGTATCAGCAGCAATGGCTTCTCCATTCACAATTCCACTTCCAGAAGAACATGAGATGTCTGAATTTAAGCGCCGACTATCACCTCCATTTAGATCTCCTCCTGACACAGTTCTGCCCAGTTTCTTCTTTGCCTCCAGGTTCTGGAGGTGTAAAGTTTCGGAACAGTTCTCACATTCCCAAGCATTATCATTGCAGAGAACCTCTGCCTTTATAAACTGGGTCAGGCAACTTTCCACGGATACAGGAGAATCAGAATCATCAACTTCATCAGGATCCGATTCACTGCTAATTCCAACTGCAGTAGGACAAGTTTCTCCCGCTACTCCATTGCTTAAATGAACAGGCCCTGCTACTGGGCCAATAAAAACCTCTGGCTCATTGAATAAATCACCAAAACCATCAAAGGCTGCTTCATCCTGTCCAGATCCCACAATTGAAGAAGATGAAGCCCCAGCTTCTCCAGAAATAGTATCCTCCCCACCTATGGCACCCTCTTCATAGTAAGGAAGCAACAGAACTTCAGAGCTCTGTACCTGCAATGGTACTTCCTCTTCCCAAGGATCTATAGAGACAGATTTTGGCTCTGAATATGGTGGTGTTTGGTGAACCAAATCAAATGGAGGAGTCTCCTCCTTCCCATTCGAAACCACATCTTTATCTGCTGAAACTTCAATGATTGATAACTCATTGACTTGTGAGATCAAGTCATTCTCGTTTGATGTTTCGGAAGATATAAAATCCATCCATGAATAAGGTTCAGCGGAAGCTGCTGATCCTTCCAGCTCAGCTCCAACAACTTCCTTGTCCACAGAAACCGGAACCTCAAGAAAGTTTCCTGCGACTAAGCCTGTTTCACAGCAGTCAGAAGTTTGACCAGCTGAGTCAGACACTGTAGTATCACCCGAGGAAGACACTACATTATCTGTATTAGATGTTATCAATAGTGGTTGGCACCCCAATACAATGCTTGTGGAAGAGGTTGCAGCACTTACACCCTGCACTGTATCTGCTGTATCTTTGCTCACTTTCTGCCTAGCTTTTCCAACTCGCTTTGGTGGTAGCTTGGTCTTTTTTGCTCGAGAGACAGCCTGGAACTTTTTAGTTGGAGGCTTCTTAGTCGGAACTGGAAGCGAGAGGTCTAAATATGGCTCATAAATGGTGGAGGAATGTCCACACTCAATGCAACATACAGTACTAGAGATCTGTCCCCCAAATGTGGCATCCACAAATGTAGGAATATTTGTTGGAGCAACACCAGTTGGATCAGAAGCATTAATTTGTCTCCTTCCAGCCAACTCTTCAGTGGACCATCCATCAAGTAAGCAGCGCAACAATTCATGACTGTCATGCTGTTGATATCCCCTGAATTGAGGGGCCTTACAACAGAGAGACCCAAAAAAGGATCTCGGATTAATCACATTCCTCGCACCTGTCACTTGTCTAGTTTCATCATAAAGCTTCCTCAAAGCAGTAGAAAGAGGGCCAAAAGAAGAATCTGCGCTGACAAAATAACTCCTCAACCTATTCATAGCTAGAAGATTCTGCATTATTGAATTGAAAAAGCAAGTGTTTCCCAGGTTAACCAAGCCCCTCACAGTATAACCACCATTACCTTCTGAAGTTTTGGAGATGGTGCCTTCAGCTTTTACTTCACTTAAGATGCTGCCACTTCCTAACCAGATATCCTCACCATGCCGCAGTGTTGGCGGATGGGACACATGGGCCTTGATTACTTTTACAGCATCTGAAAATACATCCTTACTTTCACCACTATCTTCTGTTTTATCAACTGGAATAAAACTGTCGCACTGGAAGCACCACCTAAGATGAGAGTTCTCCCACTGGATAACCAAGGGGTGACCAGCCTGTCTAGCATGCCGAACAGCATGGCTTTGGGCGATTGTTGGCAAACCAACCCCTCCACATCCATAATGGCCACAGTTTAAGCAGACCCAAATGGCCTTTGAATCAGACTTGGAATCAGCTCCTTTCTTCTTCCCATGCTTACCCTTTCCTTTACCGCCCCTTCTATCAGCAACAGCCTCCCGACAATCCTCACAGCTTATAGAATCTGAACCACTAATTTTATCAGAGAACTTGGTCAGATCAAACCCCTTGTCCAAATGTGCACACGGATTTCGCTCTTTACGAACTACTACTACGCCATCACCAGCAACATTGCCATCACTTATGCTGAGACTGCTTTGCTGAGGTACCTTACTCAGAGAGTGACCAGCAACCCTCTTCTCCTTCTGAGGCGCACGGCTCTTTTTCTTGACCTTTTTCCCCATAGTCCCCTACCTGTAAGCCAAACAGACAAATACACAGATGGCAACTTAAGACAAACATTCACTACAGATTGAAATCACAAACACAAACCTAGAAAGCAGCAGCAGCAGCAGCAACAATAACTGACACCATCCACAAGAACTTAACATCTAAAAAGTATGCAAGGGGCAAGTTCTTCTTCATCCTAACGAAACATCAAGCAAAAAAAAAAGTCCCTTCTGCATCACTGTCCAACATCACATCTACAGGCATGGATTGCAACTTAGCAGAAACGAACGGGAAAACCCTGATATAGAACCTACAAGCCCCCAAAGTTCAACCCATAAAATCACTAACAGATAACTCAGACAACAAATTTGAAAACTTTCCACAACCCATTACACATTCGATGGTTGAGAGATGAACCCAGACGATAATCTCGATCAGAAGATGCTTGACAGCAATCCCAGAAGCAGAGCAAGACGAACACATCGCGCATTAACAGGCCTAGAAAAGGCTGACCCATAACACCGATGATAATCAGTAATTGAAACTCACCTGAAGAAGAAAAAGAGCAGTCAGATATTTAGCTTTGCGGGGAGACAGTGCGCATAAGGGAGAGAATGGATTGCGGGCGGGGAGGCGACTGCGAGATTAGGATCGCAGGAAGAGGAAAAGGAGTGCGGAGGTGGCCTTCCGCTTACGAGGGGTTTAGGTTTGGATTTGCGTTTGCCGCATCATTCATCTCACTGCGCATGTTGTTGTTTTTTCACTGTCTTTTGGGTTCGCTTGTTTTTTTTTTTTTTTTTTTTTTTTACCTTTTACTGCTCGGAGAAGTAGAAAGCTAGTTTGTGGAGAATTACTGCGGCGACCAGTTATCCTGGCTGTCGACTGCAAATCAAGGTTGCCGGCCCGATTTAGGCATTTAGCCCATTGGTCCGTGAATAGTGGGTTGAG